AGTTCTAAATTTTTCATCTGATTCTCTAATCTAATTTCTTTATGCTTCATCAATAAAACTATAATCTAGATATCTAAGATTAGGTAAAGAATTAATTATATGATTTTTATAATCTGGTTCTTTTGTAAATGGATTCCCAGCTACATTTAAAACTTATAAGTTCTTGAATTTCATTCCTTTTCCTTTACTAAAATATTGTGTTACTATTTCAAAAGAAGGTATTTTATTATTACCAATTGATAAAACATTCAAAGATTTACAATTGTCCAAACCTCCAACAGAAGTAAGTTAATTATTAAACATTGATAAATCTTTCAAATTAATTAATTTATCTAATCCTTCAATTTCTTTTATCAAATTAAATGATAGATCAAGCCAATGCAAATTGACTAAATGATCTAAATTCTCAATTTTTTATATTATGTTATTATCTAATTGTAACTTCTCTAATCTCTCCAAACCTTAGAGGTTTTCGATCTTCCAAATGTCTATTGATATATAATAATATTGAAATACTTTTAAAAGACAATGACATGACACGCAAAGAATTTAACATAATTTAATCTCCCATAGTTATTTTGTTTTCAGAATTGTAATCCTTCACTGATTTACTTAAATATAATTTAAAAATTACATGATTAAGGTTTCATCAATAACTGTGGGCTCTATTGAAGTTTTATTGTTTCGCTTATCAATCTTAGGAAGATGAGCACTTTGGAAGTTCAACATTAGAAATAAATATATTATTTCAATTATTTATATATAATTCTTTATTTTGAACTTCATTTAATTTTTCTCAAATAATGCTGTAATAGTAATAATATGGAGAGAAATGGAATTAATAATAAGTAAAAATAATAAATCCCATATAATTTACTTATAAAATGAAATTGTTTATATTTAAAATAAGAATAATAGTATACTGACAATCATTATGTTCATTCTTCTTCTCCAATAGGAAAGGAAGTCATACAACCCCAGAAACCATAACTAACACCGTGAGTATTGATACATTCTGTGTAGCGTTAATTCTCTTGGCTATTCTCGTAACGATTGTCAAATTTAGAGTGCTTATCGTCAAAAATCAGCAAATCATGGCGAGTTATGAGTACTCTAAATAGTTATTTTTATATTTTTTCACTAATAATAAATCATAATATTCTTTAATCTCTGTTTTGCTGCTTGCAATAATGGATGAATATCATTATTAACATTATCCAATAAAAGAATAAATTATTCCAACTAGGTCATTGAAAATCGCAAGACTTAAAGGCAATTATCAGGTAGAAGAAGAACTCGATAAATCAACCTGATAATCTAGTGATGTTCAAGTGAACTTTCATGGTTCTTTAAAAACCTTAGTGTAAATTCATCAGCTCTTTCAAAGATCATTTCCATAATGAGACAAACATTTTATTCGAAATTGCTAACACCCTTTGTTCTCATTTTAAATATTGAATGATTTTGAATATTAATTTGTTCTTTAAAATCTATTAATTAAAGAATTATGATAAAAGGAATTCTTTCATAAATTAATAAATTTTATGATTAAATACTTGTTTGTTTTAATATTACTTTATTTGGCTATAGCCAAGAGAATCTAGCAAAGCCATTCTATTAAATAATTAAGAGATTGGCATTATATATCAAAATTTGGAGCTGAAACAGGGGAAGTTTTCTATTCATTAAAGTATAAAATAAATATATTAGATTAGGTTCCGTATCAAGAATGCTGATGAGAATGATGAACGAACAATTCCAATATAATATGAATTATACTTAGATGAAGAATGGCCTAATGCATTAGAGAAGAGCGAATGTGATGTACAAATAGATAATAATTTAATTTTAGAGAGGTAGCGTAGCAAGAAGAAAGGAGACTATTTGGGTTCCTGTTAAAAATGAATATGAATTTAAAGGAAGTTTGACAGCAAAAGTTAGAGCACATTTGTGGTATTTTGCATTTAATGATTGTGAAAAATAATTAAGAAATTCATTTCCAATTGAAAATCATGTTAAGTTAGAAGTGGAATTACATATAACAAATGTAGGTGGAACAGAATTTACATTAGAATAATTTGGAATTGTATAAATAATAGGTGTGATAGCTTTAATTGACGTAATAATGTTAATTTATAATGGTAATCAAATCTTAGAAAAGTAGAGAAAGTATGAGGAATTTAGTTTACCATTATTTTTATTGGTTATCACATTACTATTAGAAACATTCTCATATTGTTTTTTAACAATTCATTTATGGATTTATAGTGAGAATGGAGCTGGATAATTGTTATTACAAGTTTTGTCTGTTATATTTTAAGTTGCATCACAATTCTCATTAACAATGATTTTAGTAATGTTATCTTGGGGTTGGTAAATAAACTTTAGTAAATTTGATAATTTTGAATTGTTTTTACCAATTTCGTTATTGATAGGATTCTTCTAAATTATGATAGTTGGAGTTAGCTTCATAGATTATGATTCATATTTTAAAGATCATTCTTATGAAGGTTGGGTAGGTTGGTTGGCTTCTTTAATTTATATAGGTGAATTCATTTATTTCATGAATGGATTAGTAGACACATATAACAAATAAAATACAAAAATTTAATAATTTATTTTATTATTGGGTTTATATGGAGGAGTTTATTTCATTAGTTTTCCAATGTTACAAACTATAAATTTAGTAAATGATCATTTTAATATTTAGTTTACTGCTAGATATGTTAGATATAAAATAATGGAAATTGGAACAATGTTATTTCGAACTTCTGCCATATTATTGCTGACTAGATTGTTTACTTCAAAAAAATCAATATTTGCTTAGATTTCAATAGAAAATAAGAGCTTTCTAGACAGAAATAAGGATGAGTGAGAGTAATGTATATCTGTTTATTTATTAATTTTATTATTTTTATAAAGATGAGTAAAGAGAAAAAGATTGAGTCTTCCATGTTAACATTCTTTGTATAGGAGATAAACTAGAATTTTTGGGAGCAGACTCAAACTACTGAATTAGATGTATTGATTCAAATTCATTTAAGTCATAAGAATTTTTAATTGAACATGAATTTGTTAGAGAGGCACGAAAAGAAGTTAAAGTCAAACATACTTTACTTGTGTTGGGAGAGGAATATTTGTATAAGATTTCTCCAAAATAAAATTTAAAACGAATTCCTTTAAATATATTGCATTTTGATACAATTCCAAAATTACCAGAAGATCATATTTTGCAACTAAATTCAGAAAATTAATTATATGGATTTAAATTAACTTATGCAAGTAAAATACTTCAAGTTTTTACATAAAATTCTGTTGTCTTTTTATAATGGTAAGCAATTTTAAAACGAAAATGTTTACTTTCCTCTTTTCATGAAACATATCATGTTGAGAAAATGATAGGTAAAGGTAGTTTTGCTAAAGTTTATTTGGCTACATCCAATGGATAATCTTATGCTATTAAAGCATTTAGCAAGTAATTCATAAATGAACAACTAAAGGTACACTTCATTTTTATAGTAGGGCAAAGAAAGTCTACTTAATGAAATGTAAGTGATGAGAGCTATAAAACATCCAAATATTGTTAAACTATTAGAAGTCCATGAAACTTAAAATTCAATCTATTTTGTTTTAGAATTAGTTGTTGGAGGAGAATTACTGTAAAGAGTGAAAGAAAAAGGTATATTATTTAGTATTTATAACAGGATTATTAAAATCTGATGATTTGGTTAAAATTGCATTTAATTTATTAAGTGCTCTCGATCATTTGCATTAAAAAAAAATATTCCATCGAGATTTAAAACCTGAAAATCTCCTTTTAAAATCTAAAGAAGACAATTATAACATAATGATTGCAGATTTTGGTTTAGCTGCCTTCTAAGATTAAGAATTGATATTCAAAAGATGTGGAACTCCAGGTTTTGTTGCTCCAGAAATTTTACTCTATATTGATGGAGGACCTATCTATGATACAAAATGTGATATTTTCAGTGCTGGAGTAATCTTATATATATTGATTGTATATTCTATAATTTATCAATTTAGACTGGCAAATAACCCTTCCCTGGCTAAGATTAAAAGGCCATATTAAAAGCTAATAAAGCTTGTTAAATAGACTTTGGATTACCAGCCTTTTTGAAGACTCCTATTGAATTTTAAGATTTAGTAAAAAGAATGTTGTCTAGTAAAATTAGTGATAGACCAACTGCATAAGATGTAAGTATTGTTATGTATTCTATTAAGTGCTTAAAACATAAACTATTTGCTAAAATTTCTTAACAATTAAAATAAGATTAATAAGATTTAGAAGAATAATAATAACAAGTCTTAAATAATCTAGCTAATTATGATATAGAATATACAATAGGTTTAAAGAATAATACTTAAAAGTAATATATAATTTAATTAGTTCGGAGGATTTAGTAGGATCACAATAATTATAATGGCGAAAACCTGCATACAATGGTAATGTATAAACTGTTGAAACCTTAACAAATTGTTCCACTGTTTCGATCAAATAAATTGATGCTTCATCTACTTCTCAATCCTAATAATAAAAATAACCTCAATAATCTAAATTCAGTATTTTTAGTGCTAAATTATCAAGATAAAATAGCTTTGATGGTGGTACTGGTAAATTTTAAATTAATTTAGACATGTTCAAAGATTGTGCATCTCCTGGAAGAAATAAAATATCAAAGGAGAAAGATTTACATAAGATTGCTTTAAAAAACTCTTTTCGATTTTACTAAAAACCATAATTGTAAATTGAAGATAATTAAATCAATTAAGAACAATCAGAGGTAAGTGAATTGATCAAAAGACATAATTCTAGTGAATTAATAAAAATGAATCGCACAGATCATGAAATTTAATCTCCAAAAAAAGTCGAATGATAAAAATTATAAAAAACTTATATATATTTAATAATTAAATTCAATAATCTTACATTAAATTTTATCTATCTTTTAAATTTAATTAACCTTTTCCTTTTTCTTTCATTTCTTTTGCACATTTTATTTTCTATTTAACCTCTGCCACAGCTTTCTTCATTCCATTTTCTTCGAAAGTTTTCAAACTTTTCTAGAAATAACTTAAAGCATCTCTAAATTCTTAGACCAATAATAAAATTGTTCCTAAAAATCTTAATTTTATAATTATACCTATAATTTTTTAAGTTTTTGCTACTTAAACACTACCTTCACCATACACTTTAACTTCTAAATCTTCAGTTTCAAATAATTCAGCAAGTGCTTCCTAATGTCTTTCTTATTTTAATTGAATGATAGCAATCTATCGTTTAATCTTAATAACTTTTTTATCTTAGGCTGTATATAATTCAATATAAATCTATTTAACCTTTTATAGACAGGCAATCTACTCATCAATTTATTGAATCTTTTCAAAATAAGTAGATAATTATTAATAAAGTTCTGCAACATATTCAGTCTTATGATAATTAATTTCAACTAGCATATCAATAGCACTAGTTTGACATTAAATTGCATCTTTCCAATTTTCTTAGCATGCAAAAATCTTTGCTTTTTCAATATAAGAAATAGCACTCTGTTCTGATTTATAACCATATTTAGCTTCAGTGATAGCAAATACTTTTGTAATACATTCTTCACTAGCATCATAATCTTTCATTTTACTATAATATTTATAATATGATTTACGTATGACAATTAGACATTAGTGTTAAAGTTTAAATTGAATGTTCAGTTTCATCTCCATAAATTTAAGATTATGTTTCATAAGCTTTCTTTAATAAATCTAAAGATTCTTCATAACTATTGATTTCTAAATAACATTTTCCAAGTAATGTAAGTATGATTGCATTATAACTCTTGCTTTCCTATTCTTCATTATATAATTTTGCATTCTTCTTCAAAGCTAAAGTTAGATGATCAATTGCTTATTCATAACATTTATAATTTAGATATGCTTCTCCAATATTTGTGTGTGCTTTTACTAATTTGAATTAACCTTTTCCATGTGTAAATACCAAAATCTTTTATATTTAACAAATATACAATACCTTAGCTAATGCTAATTAATGCATTCTAATATTAAGTATTTATTCTTCACTTTTATCCTTAGCATATTCATCTAACATTTTCATCTTTTCTTCCAAATCTTCTGATATTTTATCTTCAATTTATTTTTATTAGTCTGGTTAATAGTTACCATAATTCTTGTCTTATTAGAATTTCTCTTTTTATGCTAACAAATATCATATAAAAATATATTACAGTTATCAAATTAATTAGATTCCATCTAATCAACTTGATTAAATTAATCATAATCTTCTTCATTCTAATCTTAATCATCTTAGAAATTTCCATCATCATCATCATATCCATCCTACATGTTTCTATTATATCTCTGTATATTATTAATAAATATATATTAAATTAAACATAAACTCATATACTATTATATTGTATAACTTACTAAAATACTTAACTTTATTATTCAAAATTATCATTAAACTTTCCTTGAATAACACCCCTATCCTTCTTATAAATTACCACCAAGTACATTCACCAATTAATCTATCCATAAATTTAAATTATGTTTAAAAGTATTTATCTTATCTTAAGCAATAAATTCTGAAATAGGCAAATCAACCTTTAAATTGCATCTAAAGATATTCAGAATATATTAATAAATATGATTTAAAATTTTAGAAATATTAACAATGTACCATCTTAGATAGTTGAAATTACCAAAATTAAAAAGACAAGTGGGGATTAAGAAGAAAAGTTAGATCCAGAATCTGATTTAGAAGAATTATGTTCTTCTACTCCTCAAGGCAATTTTATTAAAAGACAGTTTGACTCTGATATTAAAAAGAAGAAAAAACATATTAGATTTAGCTTCTAAAATCAAGTGAGTAGTTGCCAATTAGATTCTAAATTGATTTCACCATTAGATTCACCTCGTAAAAGTTCACATTCAATTTAATCTATTTTGAAGCCTCAATGCTATTCAATGTTTGGGTAAAAAAAGAAATGAATCTGAATTATTTGTGTTTTAGAGAAATCTTGGTTAAAAATTAATCTCAAATAATATTATAACTGAGTCAAATCAATCCTAAATTCATATTTATTCTAATCATATAAGGACATTTAATCTTTAGCTTTATTATTCAAAAGTGAATCAATGCTTATTTTATATATTAAAAGAAAATTATTATAATAAAAATGTTAATTTAAAATAAAATTATCTTATTCAATTAAATTAAACATATTTACGAATTTCCTAATTTTTTGATATTTCCCATAGTATCAATCAATTTAAATTATTGAGATAATCCTATCAACCATTCTTTATCATTCAAAAAATGTATAATGATTACGCTTTTAAAAATGATAAATAATTTATAAAAAACATCAAATTGAGAGATTGAAAATTTGATCTTTCCAATGTGATTTTTATAAAAATTAATTTATTTAAAAAACAATATTTATTAAAGTATTTTATATCAGAATTATTTCACCATTAATCTATACCATTTTGATTTAAAATTTGATTTATTTCAAAAGTTTACCAACTACAATAAATAATGGTGCTAAACCTATTAAAAAAAAAGTTATCAATTATTTGGATAAATCTAATACAATAGATCATAAAAAAAATTAATTTCAAATGATCATTACTTTTGTAAAAAATCACTCTTATTTCAATTTTTTATATTATTTATTGTAAGTACCAGACAGAAAAATAGAAAAATGAACAGTTTAACAACATAACAAATAATATCCCATTGTCCACTTTTGAGTTATTAAGATTTAAGCCCTAGACTTAAAGGTCCCTTTTATTATTAAAGTCTACATATTCAATCAAAAAAATTACTTTCACCATTAGGGAATTTAAAGAAAAGTATGAATCCAAGTTATGTGATTCATCTTAAACCCTTATTAATTCCTGATTTAATGGGAAAGAGTTAAATACAATCATAGAAAATAAAATGCTCTGTAATTTAAAGGTGTCCTAGATCTTAAAGTTCAAATGAATAGGAAAATGGGATTTATGGAAGTAAATGGAAAAGGCTGATTTCTAAAGGAAAGTTTTGTGTGAAACAAATTCATCATTAAAAAATTATTTATAGATTCAAGATATATGTAAGAGCAGTTTAACTTATGTTAACTTATTTTAAATTTAAAAAAGCTAGATAATCAAATATGAAAAGTAGTAAAAGATTATCCAAGGCAAGAATCTCTATAATTAATATAAGAAAATAATCTGGACAGTCAACATTGATTCCTCTCCTTCAGCAATATCAAGCAGAACTTTTATAAATGCAAAATCATATAATGAATGAATCTACATCAGATGTACTTAGTCCTTAATCTCTTTATTAAAAAAGAAAATAAAAAACTTTTTCTCAAATAAGTTTTGATCATTTTCTTAAACGGCCTATTTAATAGTTCATAAAAAATAAAAATCTTTCTTCATTTTCAGATCATAAATCCACTTAACCTACTAAAAGAACTTGCAAGACTGAATAGACATAAAAAAGATTTGCAAGTATTAGATAATTGCATCGTAAACTTCAGATGAGCTAAGCTTATTCAGCTTAGTAATGATACTAGTATTAATGTTAATATAAAATTTGATATCAATCAAAAAAATTCTAAATACATTTTTTTCTGTAGTTAATTTTATCGTGATTTACCAAATAATTATTCTAGATTTGCTGTTGCATTTACAAATATGCTTCTTGGAGTGATTTTAGAGATTTTCTTCAATTCTAACATATTAGCATTTTAATTTGCAATATTGAATACCATAAGATCGACTTAATTCTTTTCCAATACTTATCTTAACTTTAATTCAGATTTCTCACTCATTTTTTTATTTACTAAAATATAGATGAAATTACAAATACCTTCAGTAAAGAGACAAATAAATTTATATCTAGTTCTAAAATCATTTGTTGATTATTATTTTTCTTATTCTATATTATTATTTCCATGTTCATTTCTAATAAATTAAAAATCTTCATCTTAAGAATCAGAGTCAGACTCACTAGTTACATCATACTAATAATCTTAACTATAATAATTAGATAATAAAAATAGATACCTAAAAATTACACGTTGACTTTTATCATCAACATTATCAGCAATCATACTTTTTCCTTCATCTTCTTCTGCAACTGGGGGCAATTACATTTTTTATTTTTCATTTAAATTTCTATTTTTCTTTTTCTCTTAATCACTATCATAAATAGTAATTTTATGTTCAAAGAAATTCTTTACAGAATATTTTAAGGCTTAGAATAACTTTGATTTTCCTCCAGGTACAGTAATAGCCATAAACAATTATTTAGTTAATAAATCTTTATATGTTCCTTTTGGTTATAATGGAAAGGCTTCATGTAAAGAATTGTTAAATCCATACATACCAACTAAATCTTAAGGTTATAAAATATGAAAGATCTTAGTTGAAATGCTATGAGATAAATTAATTTACTCAAGGGTCATTTCTTTGGAGTAATCAATCATAAATACAATTTCATAGATATTTATTGAGATTTAGTTTCTAAATTATTGAATAGGCAATGGAGAAATATTAAACAGATTAAAGATTTTCTCTAAGACCATTAAACAGAAATCACGTACTTCAGGATCATAATATTCACCTAATTCTATTATTTATGTTAATATCTCAGCACCTGTTTTGAAATTTCCATCAATTAATTAATATATAGCTTATAATTACATAATTTTTGAAAGTAATACCTCTTTAGGTACATTTTTAAACATGTCAACAAAATTGAAATCTTGTTCTGCCTAATTAAATTCAGAATTAAAATTTTCATTCAATTTGTTGTAATATTCTAAGGCTTTTTTTTCGGATATTTTAAAATTACTTAAATCTCCTATTTATATATAACAAAGAGCTTTTTTAACATGAAGATTAATTAATCTAACTACATTACTTTATGTAAATTTTTAATCTTTTTCAGCAGTTGCTTCAAAATCATTAAATAATTTAAGTGTTTCTGGAATAAAGATTTCATTTTGCATACAAATAGTAAACATAAATTGAGCTAATTAAAATTATCTATTTAATAATTTAGCTTTGGCTAATTATTTCTTTTTCATCAATTCTGCAATCTTTTCTTCAATCATTTATAATTCTGTCATTCCTCCTGTAGATTATCCAGAGTCTCCTCTTACTCTTTCTTCTTAATCGTGTCTATATTCCTCATCTTTTTATCTTTCATCTTATTGAATGATACTCTCTTTCAAATCCAATCTCTAGCTGATAATACTACTTTAATTATAAGAATGACCACCTAAATATTTTACTCGATTATTGGATAAATTTGGAGAAAGTTGAGGTGATATTTAAAGAGATTATTCTTGATCAAGTGAATTAATTGGTTACAAATGTTATCTATTATCTGCAAATGATATTCTTCCACTTTATCTCTTTTTTTATAAGGGAGTTTGAATAGAATTAGTTTATATTTAAGTGATTTTATTTTATGTACCAGTATTAATTAATGCAATATGTGGTATATTAGTTTTTTATAATAATTGGGTTGTAGATTAATTTTTATTATGTTAATCTTTTGTTTTATTAATTAGAGACTATGAATTTAATTTTAATTAACTTTCAACCTTTTTTGATTTATTATCTTTTTTCTTTATTTATACACTTATCCAATTAATTTTCATTTATTATTTAAACTTTTATGCCAATACTTTTAGTCTTAATTTGAAATTTTAATAGAGATTAGGTTCTTACAATGCAGCTTACATACCTAAACACCATTTTTTTAATTCTTTAATTTCAATTAACTCTAATTTAGCAATATAGATAGCCTCTTCCATTTCATTAATAGCTTCAAATACTCTTCCTCCTTTCATATGTAAGATTCCAATATTATTTGCACAAATTCCTACTGCACTCATATTTCCAATTTCTTTTTTATAAAAATCTTTAGCCTTACTCAATTCCATTAATGCTAAAGCATCAGAATGTTTAGAATTAGAATATTTTTGATTAGAATATTTAATGGTTGTAACAAATATATTCATAGTTTGAAATAAAGATTTAATTTCAAAAGAGTTAAAATAATCTTAATAGTTAATTAATTCTTCCTCTTGATCCATATTTTATATATCAATACTATTCATAAAATCAGTTAAAACTTTAATTGGTTATTCAAAAGATAATCCAATTCTAGTAGCTGTGTACCAAACAAATAAAAATATAACTAATATATATCGATATATTATTACGAACAGATAATACGATTATAACAATTAACACTATAATTTCTAATATTCTGACATTATTTAATGATGTTCCTTCATAAAGTTCTTAAATAAGTGATTATTCTTCAAAATAATGAACCAAAATAAATGATGGCATCATAAAATTATTTTCTTCTGGTTCAATATAAACATATCTTCTTCCATTTTCAGGTGCAGTAATTATTGATACTTTCTTTGTTGAATATATATTGACTTTAGAGAATAACATATAAAATTTATTTTAACCAAACGAATAAGTTAAAGATGTTGAATTAAGTGTTGTATTTTATGCTAATTCTTTACATTAATTGAGTATTTAAGGTGCTAAATCTTCATTTAAAGTATCACGAGAAGAATCACTAAAATCTTTAGTTTTTACTATGTATTTAATGATAGATTCAAAAATAGCCATATTACTAAAATCTTAAGGAGCTAAAGTTGTGAATTAATTATTGATGATAGCTGTAAATAACTCATGTTCCCTCTCACCTTAACTCTCATGTTATTAATAATGTCTTGATGTTAAATCAAGCAAATATTAATTTGAAATCTTTGCTGTTAAATAGCATTTCTTATCATTATCTTAAGATATTATTTAAGTTATTGTCAACGATGGATTTAATGTAAATTAATCGTTCTGCTAATATGACATTGTGAAATTCAAGGTAGAATCTAATTCAAATTCTTCTGTCGGTAACCAATCTACAGTATTAATGTTGTTTAGTAAAATTTATTAATTTTTTGTAAATTATGGTATTCTCATTACTAATGAATCTGTACAATGAACCATTAAAGAAGCATAATTTATTGCAATAAGAGTTGAATCATCTTCTTTATCATCAGATGCTATTTATAAATCTTACGAAAGTGATCTTGTATTACTATTTTTAAATCATTTAAATAATACTTTATTATGATATCTGATAATATAAGTGATTATGTAATCTTATTCATCAAAAAACTTAAAGGACGATTTTCTCTTTGTAATTATTCCAACTTTTTATATTTAGAATGACTCCAGGCTACTATATATTATTCATCTGTTAATTCACCAGATGAAAATGAATATGGAGCAATTTACTTTTCATCCAAAGTCCTAAATAAATTAAAAGAAATACCAGGATGAATAGTTTTAAAACTCACCAAAACAATAATGTCTCAAATGTGCACTTACACCAAATATTTAATTAAAATATGCTTAGTATTAGATGTAAATTTCCTATCATCCAACAATTATTTACTTGCTATATGATATTCATCTCTATTTACAAACCATTTAGATGTCTATTTATATGAAATTCTAAGAGAGAATCCTAAAAACTTGGAATACTCACAAAGCCAAGTAATCCAACTTATAACACAGCTAACATTAGAATCAGAATTATAGGAATCAATATTACAAGTAAAATCTAATTTTTAAGTTCCATTACTCACCTATTAAAATTTAATGTAATATTAAAATAATGGAAATCAAGATATTTAAATAATCTAAATAGATAAACCAAACCATAGCATTTAAATTATAACAACATTATAAACTAAACTACTAAATTTTTAATTCTCATAAAAAGTGCAATGTTATGAAAAAATATGAATTTTAATAAATTTTAATGAATTTGATATAATTATAATAAATAAATTAATGTGGCAGTATAAATATAAATAAAAAAAAACTATTTCATTTATTGTTTGCTCTTACTCTGGCTGAAAATATAATGTTGCATAATTTCTAAATGGTAATGTCTTTATTATTTAAATTTAATTATTTCTGTAAGAGATTATCTGAATTTCTTTTACGATGTTTAAATTAGATTTATAATTTATAGAGTTAATCAGCTTGATGTTAATTTGTTTTTTAAATTTTGAATGGAGTATTTCTTTAAGAGTATGTGGGACTGGCAAATAATTATTTCCATTCAACTTTTTAACTTAAATTGAGAATGGTTTGAATTTCAAGTTAACTTTAAGGTTTTCTTTTAGATTAAGCTGTATTTCTAAAACTATAAAGTTAATTTGGAGATTAGAGTCTTGATCTAGAAGCTGTTTAAAGAGGAGAATTATTTGAACTTCTGGCAGAATAATAATTATTTTAAACACAATTAGCAATGGAACCTTGAGATTATGATTTAATATGATTAGCTTATTTTTTTGCTTAATTTTTTCTCCATTATTTAATTTTTTCTCTTTTTGAATCTTCTAAAAATATTTTATCAATTAATTTTTGATTAAAATCTGAATATTTTCTTGTAATAGGTGTTTTAGAAGGTTTTTCTGTCGTAATAATTTGATCTGTTTCTTGATTAGATCTATTAACTAAATCACCAAAGAAATTAAGTGAGGAACGAGGAGATGATTAATCTTCTTATTTCTAATTACAATAAACTATATTGTTTACCAATAGATTTTTAGATTAAAGATCATAGACTACTTAAACAAAACCTTAATTAGAAGTAGTTTTTAACATAGTAGCCCCAGCTCTAATTTAAGGTTACTAAGAATAACGAGTTGGTCCAGCCATAGTGATTTCTTTTTTAATACCCATTTAAATCAAAGTTTTTTTATTCTTTTTATTAGCTAAAGTACGTGGATTAAGCATTTTAGTAGGTGATTATGTTAATACTTTTTACATCCATGGATGACTTAATACTTAATAAGCTGAATATCTTTCAGTATGATCTGGATTAAGTAAAAAGGTAATTAATTCTTTATATTCTTTAGTTAGAATAAGATGAGAAGGGAAAGAATAATTACATTTTAAAATATTGTCAATAGTTTATTCATCACTTCTAGAAGTAAATGGTAAATAACCACAAACAAGAGCATATAATATAACTCCTAATGCCCAAATATCTATTGATGGTCTTATTTCAGTTGCTTAGCCTCCTACTACTTCTGGAGGCATGTAACTTAAAGATCCTCTATCTACTTTATCCATTGTAAAATTTGTTGAAACAGTTGCTATTCCAAAATCTATTATCTTTATTATTTTTTCAATCTTTGATGTTAATAACACATTTTCTAATTTCAAATCTCTATGAATCAATCTTTTATCATGACAATAACGAATTGCTTCTGCAATCTATCTAAATATTACTCTTGCTTCCTCTTCTGATAATCCTCCCTTCTCTTAAAATTTAATCATTTTTATAAGATACCTTAAATATATTCAACCAAATCCCCTCCCTATAAAAATTCCATTATTAAAACCACTTACATATTAGGTAATGTATAACAATTCAATATCTTTATTATATTATTATGTCTTAAATTCTTCATTACTTCTGCCTCTCTAAATACTAAATCTATATCCTCTGCATTCCATAATTTCCCAGAATCTATCAATTTTATTGCTACTTACTCTCCAGTTACCTTATGTTTACCTAACATTACTTTCCCAAATCCACCTTCACCTAATACTTTTACTATTTAGTAAACACTTATCTATGAATAAGCATCAAAATCGTTGCCTAAGAATCAAATTCGATACAATTCATACTATCTGATATATACAGAAGAGTCCCTTCTTTTATATATGGAAGATCCTCTTAAAATATCTCTATCCCTTATTATGTGAATAATCTAAGCTATTGAATTTTCATCTGATAGTAATTCTCTGCTTTCATTTTGATATCAACCATACAAATTTATCTCTAACTTAAATCAAAATCTTACTTAAAAGAACTTAAACCTTATTATATTTGCATCTGGTTATCCATTTAATGTTAATAGTATATATTTTCGTCTCTCTGCTTCAATAGAATCATTCATTTCGAAATCCATTTTAATTAAAATTAATATGACTAAACTAATTAATTCACACAGTTTTCATTTAAATTATATTATCAAAATCATATTCACTATCTTTATCTTAACTTTTAATTCCTTCTTTATTCNAATCAAAGTTTTTTTATTCTTTTTATTAGCTAAAGTACGTGGATTAAGCATTTTAGTAGGTGATTATGTTAATACTTTTTACATCCATGGATGACTTAATACTTAATAAGCTGAATATCTTTCAGTATGATCTGGATTAAGTAAAAAGGTAATTAATTCTTTATATTCTTTAGTTAGAATAAGATGAGAAGGGAAAGAATAATTACATTTTAAAATATTGTCAATAGTTTATTCATCACTTCTAGAAGTAAATGGTAAATAACCACAAACAAGAGCATATAATATAACTCCTAATGCCCAAATATCTATTGATGGTCTTATTTCAGTTGCTTAGCCTCCTACTACTTCTGGAGGCATGTAACTTAAAGATCCTCTATCTACTTTATCCATTGTAAAATTTGTTGAAACAGTTGCTATTCCAAAATCTATTATCTTTATTATTTTTTCAATCTTTGATGTTAATAACACATTTTCTAATTTCAAATCTCTATGAATCAATCTTTTATCATGACAATAACGAATTGCTTCTGCAATCTATCTAAATATTACTCTTGCTTCCTCTTCTGATAATCCTCCCTTCTCTTAAAATTTAATCATTTTTATAAGATACCTTAAATATATTCAACCAAATCCCCTCCCTATAAAAATTCCATTATTAAAACCACTTACATATTAGGTAATGTATAACAATTCAATATCTTTATTATATTATTATGTCTTAAATTCTTCATTACTTCTGCCTCTCTAAATACTAAATCTATATCCTCTGCATTCCATAATTTCCCAGAATCTATCAATTTTATTGCTACTTACTCTCCAGTTACCTTATGTTTACCTAACATTACTTTCCCAAATCCACCTTCACCTAATACTTTTACTATTTAGTAAACACTTATCTATGAATAAGCATCAAAATCGTTGCCTAAGAATCAAATTCGATACAATTCATACTATCTGATATATACAGAAGAGTCCCTTCTTTTATATATGGAAGATCCTCTTAAAATATCTCTATCCCTTATTATGTGAATAATCTAAGCTATTGAATTTTCATCTGATAGTAATTCTCTGCTTTCATTTTGATATCAACCATACAAATTTATCTCTAACTTAAATCAAAATCTTACTTAAAAGAACTTAAACCTTATTATATTTGCATCTGGTTATCCATTTAATGTTAATAGTATATATTTTCGTCTCTCTGCTTCAATAGAATCATTCATTTCGAAATCCATTTTAATTAAAATTAATATGACTAAACTAATTAATTCACACAGTTTTCATTTAAATTATATTATCAAAATCATATTCACTATCTTTATCTTAACTTTTAATTCCTTCTTTATTCTATAATTAAATCCACTCATTTTAATAAATCATACTTCCATATATTCTTTCATTTCCTAAGTTCTTTGTATATCTTTCATTTTCATTAACAATAAATCTAATCTATATAAACAATCAGATGGTAAAGGATTTTATTCAAATTCTAAAATAAATGGTCTATTAATATATTTACTTAAATACCTATGAATATTGATATCCCAATATCTTTAATTATTGATATCTAAATGAGTAGTCCATCTTCCTGTGATTTATACATAACCTTTCAAAATTTCTTTTTTTTTTATTTAAAGTTTCATGTACAATCCAGAACCAGTTTTATGCGCTAATTTACAACGTTGAATACACATAGGATTAACTTTGTAAATTTGACCAACAAGATAATCAATTAGTTATTTTGATTTAGAAAAAAAGCTACTATTTTTATATTTAGGGTTGAATAGATAACAGCACATAATTATAGATCTGGTTAAAAACAAAAACTTCTTTTATGACAATTAACATTCCTTTAACCTGTAATTATATTATAGACAGTAAATGGTTGATTGATGTATTAAAATTTAAAATTTGTATTAAGAAAGTGTANCTCTTGCTTCCTCTTCTGATAATCCTCCCTTCTCTTAAAATTTAATCATTTTTATAAGATACCTTAAATATATTCAACCAAATCCCCTCCCTATAAAAATTCCATTATTAAAACCACTTACATATTAGGTAATGTATAACAATTCAATATCTTTATTATATTATTATGTCTTAAATTCTTCATTACTTCTGCCTCTCTAAATACTAAATCTATATCCTCTGCATTCCATAATTTCCCAGAATCTATCAATTTTATTGCTACTTACTCTCCAGTTACCTTATGTTTACCTAACATTACTTTCCCAAATCCACCTTCACCTAATACTTTTACTATTTAGTAAACACTTATCTATGAATAAGCATCAAAATCGTTGCCTAAGAATCAAATTCGATACAATTCATACTATCTGATATATACAGAAGAGTCCCTTCTTTTATATATGGAAGATCCTCTTAAAATATCTCTATCCCTTATTATGTGAATAATCTAAGCTATTGAATTTTCATCTGATAGTAATTCTCTGCTTTCATTTTGATATCAACCATACAAATTTATCTCTAACTTAAATCAAAATCTTACTTAAAAGAACTTAAACCTTATTATATTTGCATCTGGTTATCCATTTAATGTTAATAGTATATATTTTCGTCTCTCTGCTTCAATAGAATCATTCATTTCGAAATCCATTTTAATTAAAATTAATATGACTAAACTAATTAATTCACACAGTTTTCATTTAAATTATATTATCAAAATCATATTCACTATCTTTATCTTAACTTTTAATTCCTTCTTTATTCTATAATTAAATCCACTCATTTTAATAAATCATACTTCCATATATTCTTTCATTTCCTAAGTTCTTTGTATATCTTTCATTTTCATTAACAATAAATCTAATCTATATAAACAATCAGATGGTAAAGGATTTTATTCAAATTCTAAAATAAATGGTCTATTAATATATTTACTTAAATACCTATGAATATTGATATCCCAATATCTTTAATTATTGATATCTAAATGAGTAGTCCATCTTCCTGTGATTTATACATAACCTTTCAAAATTTCTTTTTTTTTTATTTAAAGTTTCATGTACAATCCAGAACCAGTTTTATGCGCTAATTTACAACGTTGAATACACATAGGATTAACTTTGTAAATTTGACCAACAAGATAATCAATTAGTTATTTTGATTTAGAAAAAAAGCTACTATTTTTATATTTAGGGTTGAATAGATAACAGCACATAATTATAGATCTGGTTAAAAACAAAAACTTCTTTTATGACAATTAACATTCCTTTAACCTGTAATTATATTATAGACAGTAAATGGTTGATTGATGTATTAAAATTTAAAATTTGTATTAAGAAAGTGTACAATACTATGACCATGTTATTCACCAGATAGACTTTTACATCCCATATTGACAACAGGACTAAATGCTCCATAAATTTTATAATCCCCACCATACATGATATAATTAGAAATAAGAGGATGAAGAGATGTTTATTCTAAATAAATAGGACATCCTTTAATACTACCTTAGAATGTCTCTCCTAAAATAGGATTAAAAGGTTTTTCTTATTAAATACCCATCATAGAACTTGACATATGAAATCTTAAAGTTAATTTCATTTATTCAATAACATTTGTTGATTAATCTATAGGTTTTAAAAATATAAGTGCATGTCCCATAGCTCTAGCCATTCTTTCTAAAAAGGAACTATTTTCAAATATTTAAATTGGTAATGAAACTGACATATCAGATTTACCATTTATTATATTAGATCCAATCCTCTTTATCATATTCAAAAGTACAGATCTCTAATCTTTAAGTAATCTTTCATTATGATAAGTTAATCCTCCTCTTTATTAATCCACTCTATAATATTTTGTATACATAAAATGCCCCTCTTCTTCACTAGTTTCCAATTATTTAATCAATCCTTATGAAATTCTCTAATCTTATTATTAATTCTTTGCTTTATCTATATAAACTCCATTATATACTAAGTCTATTAATTTCTAAAACTCCTCTCTAGATTACATCAAATGTTATTCAGATGTCATTCCCTAAATTTCTTGATCTGTTGATTTCATTGAAATTTGGAGTGTATCCATACTCTCATAATTCTTTTTAATTACATTCTCTGTTAACTATTAAATTAACTCTTATATTTATATTAGATTTCTATCATTTGATGTAATATTCATAAGTAATACTTTCAGCATATTTTCTCCTGAATCTTTATCTTCACATTCCACATAGATCTCTTCAATTAAGAGACTTCTATAATCTTACTTGCTAAATAATTATCAAAAACATACTTAGAAGGCTAAACATTAAAGCTGATCTTATTATTTTATATTGATTTAAATATTCAACCAAATTCTAATCAATTTAATCATGATATAGTTCTAATTGTCTTAATATAATTGAGCATTTATTTAATCTAATATTTACTTAAAATTATCAATATCACTAAAACCATCCAAATTTTATAAGGAATTTTTAGAGCAATATTTCCATATCTTTCTAACAATTAATTTTCTTTACATTACCTATATAAAATCAGGTAAATGTGGAATCATTTTCTAAATCTTATCTCTTGATAACAAACTTGGTTTTGCTTTAGATTTTGTTATTAATGGTTATTTATCAATATAAGGTTCAACTTCAGGTAATGATCTATCAAATTCTTCTAAAACTTTTCTTGCTGTTTATTTATTTTACCATTCTCCTGAAAAACAATCTTACCATTGTAAGTATTCCTTCTCATTATTCCAACCAAATTTTATCTCATTTTATTGACTCAATTGTTTATAACATATTTATCTGAATATCGACCTAATCTTTTTAACGTGTAATTAGAAATCCTTATTTATTTTTATATTTATTCTCTAATATCTTATATTTATAAAACCTTCAGAATTAATAAATACTTTTCACCTGAGTATTTGAGTAAAATATAAAGAGTTTTTCTTTCTATTTTTTCATTATACCAGATTCCTTAAAACTGCTTCCGCTATAAAATTCTGTCTCATTTTGATACATTTTAATTAATATTAAATAAAGATATCATTAATTTTAGATAATTATTTGTATTTGTATAAAATCATATCTATAAAAATAATTAAAGTATATAGATTAAAAATATAATTAAAGACAGTTAGAAAATAAAAGGATATTTTATTATTTCAAAAACATGAGAATTATATTAATGAATAAAAATATTTAATTAACAATAAAAAAATATAAATGTTTTCAAATACAAATTCGCAATACTAAAATCCTTAGACTTCTTATTACAATAGTCATAATCAAACAGTCCCTATAAGTAAGTATAATAATAAAAGAATAGTAAATTAATCATAGATAGGGAAACCCGTGTATCAACCTTAATAGCCAGAGCTATTGGAAACTGAAATGAAAATATTTAGAGGATAAAATCAAGTATAAGAATTATAAGTAGCAAATCCTTAACCAATAAAATAAGCATCTTCTTAGATTGTTATATAAAATTAGTATTAACAATAATAAGTGAAATAAAATTCGAAAGTGTCATACGTAATATAAAGAATTGAATAAATTAGTTGATAGATTGGATAATGTATTTTTTACCAATAGCATTCTTGATATTAATTTTGATTGTTATGTCATGCATGGTTGGTGCAAAGATTAAACATTTTAATCCTGAAGGAGCTCACAATACATTAAAAACTTTAAAAGAAAATTTAGAAATGGATCCAATAGAAGATATTATAGAAGCAAATGAAGTAACACCAGAAGTGACAATGATTGAATATTTTAGACATAGGAATATTAGATGTCCAAATGGTTATGAATTAGCAGATATAGGATAATGGGATGGTATTAAATCTGGTTGTTTATGTGAAAATGGAGAGACAAGTCATGCTGCTACTTGTTTTTATAAGTCATCGTGTTAAAGAGTTAGATCTCATGATTCTGTAAATCTAAATATTTGGTAATCTAAAAGTTTTTGTATTAAAAAATATCAAGATTGGTAAAATTTAATTGGACTCACATGTGATAATGGCTATAAATAATGTGGAAATATTTGTGTACCAATTACTAAAAGATGTCCCTTGTCAAATCTAATTAAACGTAATAGTAGATCTGATGAGGAACATTCAATTCAAATTGGAAATCATATTTTTATTAAATAATATTAGGATGCTGATTCTGTTGTAGATTTATAATTAGTACCTGGATTAGGTTAAAGTTAATCATCACCTTGTTATAACTATGAATTTAATCCTAAATTTTAATCTGAACTATATTATCCTTTTGCTAAAAGACCAGAAAAAGGTTGTGATTAATATTTAGATCTTCAAAATCATCGTATAACATTAGATCATTTTCAAATTCATAAAGTTTATGAATAAAATGATTTAAATGATCTTTTACATTAATTACCATTTTATCAAAGTTATATGGATAACTAAGATACATATTCATTTTAATTAATTAAAAGAATTAAAATTAATCCTATTTAGGAATGTAGAAAACTCAAACCAAATCAAGTAGATAAGATTTCAGTAAGTAGTAGAAGTCTTTATCATACTGAAAAATACTTATCCTTTATAATATTGTTGCTTACTGCAATCTCATTATTTTTAATACCCATACTCTACTTAATAAGAAATAGAGTATATCTTAATTTCTATTTAGCTATTTGAATGGAAAGACATGACAGAATTCTAATAACCCAGATTCTTTTGTGGAGTTACTTTTTTAATTGCTACACTCTGTGTCATTTTAGGAGCATTCTATCTTTATCATGTTAATGGTGATGTAATTTTATACAATATATATTTTAGAATGGATTAAAAGAACATAATCATTTATTTTCTTCTTATTTAGAAAAGAATTGTTTCTAAGATGAAGGATTAATATTAGTATAATTTAAATATTAAATTTATAGGCAATTAATTAAGTAAATACTTTTGCAAAAAATGTGTATCATTCAACTTATAATTATGTTGTGTTTGCATTTTATGGAAGTATTTCTTTCATGATTATATTGGCTTTATTTATGCTTTTTTAATTCTGTGAGCATAAGAGTGTTTTTGATAATCCATGGTAACATAGAAACCAGAGATAATATTATGAATTTTATTGAAAAATATTAATTTTTCATTCATTTAACTTCTTTACCTATTATTAATTATTATGGAGTAAATTAAAAATATTTATCATCTCAAAAACACTATCAATAAAAATACTCATTACTTTCTTAAACCTAAAAATGCAGCCTTGAACAATTTGTTGGATACCTATATTCTTAAAGATTATGGTGGAATTAATGTAAGTTATCAATTTCCTAAAATACATAACCAATCTTAACAATAAATTTTAAAGGAAATTGAAAGCAAACGCAAGCTCTCCATTCAAAATATTTAGAAGATGTGTTCTCAAAGAAATCTCAATCGTCTAGTTCGCTCTTAAACTATAGATGAACCTGCATATAGAAAAGCAACTGATATTATTCAATCTTGTCAACAAATTATAAATCATCAAAAATTACTTTAACCTAAATCTCAAAACAAAAAATCTATTGTGAATGACGAATACAAAGCTATTCGAAAAGCAGACAAACTACATAAATTCATATAAGAACAAATATATTAATGTAATAAAGATGATGTAGGCAATGCAAATAAAAAAGCTATTTTATATATCAAGGAAAATGATATAACTATTGATAAAGATAAATTCATATAAAAATGTCATAAAGAAAAAATTTAATTTCAATGTTTTAGAGAAAGATCACGGAAAGAATAATTATATAAAAGAATCAGAACAAATCATTACCAATTAGATCTCTGAATTTATTATATATTTTTATTAATATTTCTAATCCAAAAATACAATATCCCTCTCTCATTTGAGTGATATAAGAGTTACTGAAAGAATCTAAAATTTCTAATTGATTTCTGATAATTATTGTCTTTATAAATAAAAAAATTATAACATAAACATTTACTAATTTAATACTATTTATAAAAATAAATAAATTATTTCAAACTTTATAATTCTAAAATTGACATACTTATCAAAAATATTAAAAAGTACATTTAAAGAATAAAATGATAAAATCAAAGAAGAATTGATATTAAAATAATATAATATAGTTATCAATACATTTATTTAGTTAAGTTATGCTCCTAGTTCCTAGATTACTGAGAGAATATTAAAAAAATATGATAAATAAATTAAGGATGATTTTAATAAAAATCCAAACTTTCATTTCTTTTTACATTTTTAGGAAATGAATCATTTACAAATTAAATAAAAATAATATAAAAATAGATTATTATCAATAAGATATTAAAATTATAGTCGATATACCCAAATCGTTAATAATAATCTTTTATACTTTTATAATTCCCTAACAAATAATGTAAAAAAGGTTTTCTGATTAAGATTTGTTGCTTAAATTAATAACATAAAGTTGATAGCAAATTATCTTAAATTTTTCTTACTAAAATATGCAATGATATAATTGAAAACTTTGATTCATACATTTTGAATTCAAAGGCTATGAGTAATTAAGGAAATAATATTAATATGAAAGAAATATCAGAATAAAAAAATGGCAAATTTTTGTATATTTTATTTTTAATACTAGAAATTTAATTCCTTTTTGAAAAGACTTGGTATTTGAGACAGTGAAGATATTAATTTGGATATTATCAATACTCACGGTGTTAGTTATGGTTTCTGGGGTTGTATGACTTCCTTTCCTATTGGAGAAGAAGAATGAACATAATGATTGTCAGTATACTATTATTCTTATTTTAAATATAAACAATTTCATTTTATAAGTAAATTATATGGGATTTATTATTTTTACTTATTATTAATTCCATTTCTCTCCATATTATTACTATTACAGCATTATTTGAGAAAAATTAAATGAAGTTCAAAATAAAGAATTATATATAAATAATTGAAATAATATATTTATTTCTAATGTTGAACTTCCAAAGTGCTCATCTTCCTAAGATTGATAAGCGAAACAATAAAACTTCAATAGAGCCCACAGTTATTGATGAAACCTTAATCATGTAATTTTTAAATTATATTTAAGTAAATCAGTGAAGGATTACAATTCTGAAAACAAAATAACTATGGGAGATTAAATTATGTTAAATTCTTTGCGTGTCATGTCATTGTCTTTTAAAAGTATTTCAATATTATTATATATCAATAGACATTTGGAAGATCGAAAACCTCTAAGGTTTGGAGAGATTAGAGAAGTTACAATTAGATAATAACATAATATAAAAAATTGAGAATTTAGATCATTTAGTCAATTTGCATTGGCTTGATCTATCATTTAATTTGATAAAAGAAATTGAAGGATTAGATAAATTAATTAATTTGAAAGATTTATCAATGTTTAATAATTAACTTACTTCTGTTGGAGGTTTGGACAATTGTAAATCTTTGAATGTTTTATCAATTGGTAATAATAAAATACCTTCTTTTGAAATAGTAACACAATATTTTAGTAAAGGAAAAGGAATGAAATTCAAGAACTTATAAGTTTTAAATGTAGCTGGGAATCCATTTACAAAAGAACCAGATTATAAAAATCATATAATTAATTCTTTACCTAATCTTAGATATCTAGATTATAGTTTTATTGATGAAGCATAAAGAAATTAGATTAGAGAATCAGATGAAAAATTTAGAACTCATGCTATTACTTAAGAAGACTTTTTAAAGCAAATGTAAAATTAAGAATAAGAGGAGAAGAATAATAATGATGAATTATTTAAGTGTTGAATTAATTTAAGATGAAGAATTAGAAAAAGTAAAAACAATGAAAGGAGTAGAAGAAGAAATCAACAAATTTTAGGAGAAAATTAAAGAAACAGTTGAAAATCTTTAAAAGAATGTTATTCAAAAGAATACTGCAAAATTATAATCAATTGAAGTAAAAAAATAAATTATAAATTAAATAGAAATTTGAACAAGCAGTTAGAGCAAGGGAAATTAAAAGTGAGAATGAAACTATATTAACAATTAAAAAATTCGAACATCAAAAGAAATTAGCCTTTAGAGCAAAAGAAAGAAACGAAGACGGATGGAAATAAAAATTAGAAGATTTAAACAAAGAAACTTAAAGACTTAAAGATAATCTATTGTCAACAGAGTTATAATTGATGGTAGATATAGAGGCAGCTTTGGGAGATTTTGATGGAAAATTAGGATTTATAACAAAAGATATGTCTGATTATGTATCAGGGGATCATGGATTTAAGAAGATAGGTGATTTTATTAGAGAATTTGGAACTAAATTAACAGATATAGCAAAATTAGAATATGATAGATATTAAGTATTTGTGTAATAAGGAAGTGATTTAAGTGAATGGGATGAAGATTTATAGACAGTAATATAATTACATTAATTATTAGTTATTTGAAAATAAAGGAACACTTTTAGGTGCTGTCAGTAATATCAAAGATAATTTGTAATCAAAAGCTAATACGAAAGTAAATTGATAATTATTGATGTTAGGATACAAATATTACAACATCAATTGAAATGATATTAAATTATTGGTTACAAGTTATAAAGAGAAGTAATATGAAAGAAATAGAAGGAATGTATTGCAAATTAGCAAATAAATTGAAGAATACACATAATAAATAAGTGAATTGTTGCAGACACATTCTGATGATGAATCTGAAAGAAATTGATAATTATGCAATATAAATGTGGGTTATTCTACAAATATTCATATTATTTATTAATTTATTCTGAGTTATGGTATTATCAATACTCACGGTGTTAGTTATGGTTTCTGGGGTTGTATGACTTCCTTTCCTATTGGAGAAGAAGAATGAACATAATGATTGTCAGTATACTATTATTCTTATTTTAAATATAAACAATTTCATTTTATAAGTAAATTATATGGGATTTATTATTTTTACTTATTATTAATTCCATTTCTCTCCATATTATTACTATTACAGCATTATTTGAGAAAAATTAAATGAAGTTCAAAATAAAGAATTATATATAAATAATTGAAATAATATATTTATTTCTAATGTTGAACTTCCAAAGTGCTCATCTTCCTAAGATTGATAAGCGAAACAATAAAACTTCAATAGAGCCCACAGTTATTGATGAAACCTTAATCATGTAATTTTTAAATTATATTTAAGTAAATCAGTGAAGGATTACAATTCTGAAAACAAAATAACTATGGGAGATTAAATTATGTTAAATTCTTTGCGTGTCATGTCATTGTCTTTTAAAAGTATTTCAATATTATTATATATCAATAGACATTTGGAAGATCGAAAACCTCTAAGGTTTGGAGAGATTAGAGAAGTTACAATTAGATAATAACATAATATAAAAAATTGAGAATTTAGATCATTTAGTCAATTTGCATTGGCTTGATCTATCATTTAATTTGATAAAAGAAATTGAAGGATTAGATAAATTAATTAATTTGAAAGATTTATCAATGTTTAATAATTAACTTACTTCTGTTGGAGGTTTGGACAATTGTAAATCTTTGAATGTTTTATCAATTGGTAATAATAAAATACCTTCTTTTGAAATAGTAACACAATATTTTAGTAAAGGAAAAGGAATGAAATTCAAGAACTTATAAGTTTTAAATGTAGCTGGGAATCCATTTACAAAAGAACCAGATTATAAAAATCATATAATTAATTCTTTACCTAATCTTAGATATCTAGATTATAGTTTTATTGATGAAGCATAAAGAAATTAGATTAGAGAATCAGATGAAAAATTTAGAACT